GATTATAAATTTTTTTTTTGGATGTTGCCCTTAACCCCCCCCCCCCCCCATAATAGAAGACCACCTGGTCTTCTACTTTGTCTCTCAAGTCAAGTTCTAAAGGGTGGTCTTCTATTGCGATCAAATTTTGTCGCCTGCTGGTAGTCCAATAGTAACCTCACGTACTTGAAGTCCGTCCCCTATCAGAAGTTCTCTTTTGCGAAATTGGGGGGGGGGGGGGGGGGGTACTATGTGTATTTTAAATGAACAATAGTGTGTTTCTGTAGATCGATGCCGGTAACACTGATTCATCGAGATAACCTCGATTTTCAAATTTCTCTCTCTCAGAAGATCAGAGACGCCATGAACTAAGCAAGAATGCTGGAGAGACACACAAACATCACCTTCTGCTGGTGTATTACGAAGAGAAAATCCAGAATTTCCTTCCCCTGTTATTCCATGTTTGAAATGGAGAGTAAGAAGACGACGCTCAGTGACGCGCACTTTAACATTATATACTATTTCTTGTTTTTGATATTCTGCCAGCGCACCGAAATTTTTTCACTTTTTGCTTCTGTCACAGTGATACTCATTGAATTATAGATCTTGATCACTTGTGGCGCCTACTTGAATTAAACACTCTTTTGGCAGTTGCAAACACAAATAATTTTATTCTACTATCTGTTGCACAATACTTTTTTAATTTTCATACATCATTTTCTTCTTTGATAAATGTCAGTTTCACAATCGAAACTGGTCCTCCATTCACCTATTCAACAGAATCCATACAGTATACAGAACCACTGAAAATAAAATTTCGTTTTCTGATTCAAAATAACTTACCATGTATGTTTACCAATATCTGCAAAACGTTTTTTTGTAATAATAGATGTATCGATTATCATTTCATCAATAGTAAATATATAAGAGATCAGAGAGTATAGAAATGCTACAAATGTTATTTTGATTTTTAATTAAAAATAAAAATGGCATTTTTAGCAGTTCTTATACGTAAGATTCAACATAACTGATGATACAAACCATACATGTTCTATGCGCAATCTAGCAGCGGAATATCATTATCCATCTTCCGAAGATACCATACATGAAGAATTAGAAAAAATCGAACAAGAACACTTGAGAACCTCAACAATGTTCGACTAACTAAATTTCCGAAACTTCGAAGACTTTTACGCATTTATGATCAAAGTTTGCGGATTATAACACACGATTACGGTGTATATATTCATGTAAAATATGCCATTCTCATCCTCATAAAGGCAAATCCTGCTGTTTTACGGACGATAAACGAAAACAGAAAATGTATTGTTGATTTTCGCCTTTGTCAGGCCGAGACATGGGAGGGGAAATATTTTAATTCATTTGCATCCAGTCTGGCATGGGTAGATGCTGGCGTGACGACTCAAAATGCAAGCAGCATTGTCCCTCTATCGAATACCGATTGTACCTCTCGTTCGAATACCGAAAGAAACAAGAGAGACACTTGAAAAATGTTTCACTGTAGAATTTATAAAAGTGTTTGAATGGGCCTAGGTTATAGAAATTGAGGGTCGGGACTACGATATTCAGTTTTCGTATAGTGACGATATGAAAATTGGCAAATGATGGGTTTAGGTGGCGAGCGTTGGATCAAAATATCGATGTAATTGGTGCAAATATATGAAAACTAGTAAAGATACAAGTGACACTGATGTAAACATTGGCGTTCCTTGATTTATCCACGATTATCCGGATATCGCTGATGATGACTGCATTTTAACGAAAATGAATCAAAAACTAACATTGAGAAAATCATCATGAGGTAAAATTGTTTCCAATACACAACGAGACAGATCGACGACACATCATCATTTTTTGAAGCCAAATCAACAAGAAGAAATAGTACAATCACAAATACTCGTACGTTTTCTCTTCAATCGTCTAAAAATACCGAACGAACAACAACCGCTCATGAAATGTCAGAGAGTGACGAATCAGATTACCAACAGAAAAAAGGAAAGTATTACACAATCAGCAAATAAGGTAAAAGTGTTTCTGAGTGTGAACGAGGGTGACACAGCAAACATGTAACAGCAACTTCAACAGAACACTGTAACAGAAACTTCAGCAAGTCGATGATGAATTCAACATTTGTAATACAGAAGATGATATCAGAATTAAAAAAATTCCAAAGTCTAAAAATAAAAAAAGATCTAAAAGCCAACAACGGCCAATTACAACTACGACTTCATCTCCGGATAGTAATGATGACCAATTTTTTGACAACTTCTTTTTTCAATGGTCAGCGTTTGATAAGAATAAGGGGGCAAGAGACGTCGAAGAGCATTTAATTCAAGCGGAATGTGCCTCTATGCATAGCTACAATTTCAAGCCAATTTATAGAAATTATTTTCGGTGAGTGATATACACGTTTACTCAGAACATACATAAAACTGACATTTCATGTTTTAATTATGATGAAATAATTATAGATCTGCTTCACATGAAGTTAAGAATATCCGACATACTGCTTAAACATGCAATACGACTTGTATGCAAAGTGACACCTACTGATATCACTCAAGAACGAGCTGAACAACAAGAACAGAATGTGTTCTTTTTTTTCAAGGAGCATGCGAAAAATACAAAAGTAAGTGTGCCTGGACCTTTAAATCAATGAGCAATATCGTTTAACGAAGATATGAAACTTCTACTCTTAATTATAGACACACATTTCATAAGTGCTTATCAAGGGGATGCTTCTGCATGATGCTTATCTGTGAAAGACATTTTATCAGATTGAAATGGTGACAGAAATTAATGTAGGCAGGCAAGTGTGATTGTTGTTTTCAATTATCTCTGCGGTAGCTTAACAGCCGGGTGAGTGTCGTTATTTTTTTCAACTTTTATGGATGCTTTTATATAGTGAATGCATTCTCACTCCTTCGGCTGACTGATCACACACAAAGAACATATCGAGAGCGAGAGAGAGAAGAAATAGACCTTTACAAGATGTTGGACAGGTTCAATTGTGAGTATATAAGCACGAATTCAAGACTTGTGCCTTTATACATAATATTCTCGCAAAAAATATATTTTTGAGCATAAAAAATTATAGTGTATCTGCGGATTAAAACATTCTTCATAATTTCAAGAAATACTAGTAAGTACTACTTCTGGTTTACATGATTTTTATCTATCTACAAGTTTTTCCTGTTTTACTATAGTAGTTCACACTTTTTGCGGTGCATGTACTACCGAGTGTGTGCATGAACATTTTACATCTATATGTTTTTACATTGGTTGTGGTGCGCACGTTCAGAAGAGAGTGTATACATTGATAGAAGCTTTTTAGTTTTCACCGCATTGTACAGTTCTTTTTCAAACGACTACTTTTGGTTTGCATTATTTTTTATCTATCCACAAATTTTTCCTGTTTTACCGTAGTAGTTCACATATTTTGCGGTGCATGTAAATAAATTGCAAGCATGTAATAAGTTTTCCTTCATGAGGCCCGATGTAGAATATATACTGGTCATTGGATAGCATCTCGTTCGTCAAATTTTAAGAATGATTTATAGTGTCCCTTGCAACCATATGAGGTTTGAATACATTTCTGGGGTTCTAGAATATCAATGTTATTAATTTGTTCCCAATATAAGACCGGTACAGAGATGAAGGTAGACTTCAGCATCCACAAATGTCATTCGATGATTAATTTTCACTTGAGGGCGAACAATTCCAATAGCTTTTAATTCACTGTTGTTGGCTGTTTAATCTCTTCCTAACTGGTGGTTTTCTCGACAGACTATTTTATGGATAGTTGAAACCACCGCCCCCGTTAGAGATGTGCAGAGCGCCCTTACCAGGGTAAGGCCAGGGCTTCGTCGAAAAAAGATATATCGTCGGTACAACATTGAGGTCGGTCGCTAGCAACAGTTACTTTAAACTCTTTATTTTATCGGGTGCAAGACACCCATTTTTGGTGCAATTGGCAATATAAAAAAAGCAAATATATTTTTCATGGTAGGTCTTTTGTTTGACATCGATATAAAGCTTGATTGTCATTGGTTGTTAGAAAAAAAACCTGCTGGTAGATGAATTAGATAGTACCCTACTGCTTCGAAGTACATGATTAGATTTTATTCAAATCCACAGTAATTCTATCTCAAGCTTTCGACGAGTAACACTCGGCATCATCAGGAGAACGAATAACAAAGAACACAGAAACTACATGTATATATATACACATGAAAAACGAGAAACAGGGAAAAGAACAGATATTTTCGAAAATATCTGTTCGTAGAACATTTTTCGGGCCGAAAAACACGTCCTAAAGGACATATTGAAAAACGTCATCCGAAAACCTTCAATTTATGATAGAATTACTGTGGATTTGAATAAAATCTAATCATGTACTTCGTAGCGGTATGGTACTATCTAATTCATTATATATTTTCAACTGC